AGAACTAGATGATGCCCAGCTACCACTGTCAACCACTTGGAGGGGGATCAGTGCAGGAGATCCTGCATAGAGTGGGAGAACAATGTGGAACAAAACTCACAATCATTGAAAAAAAAAAAAAAAAAAGACCAGGTTTACTGGTCTCATAGAGCCTGGTGGGACCACTGAGACTATGACTGCTATTTACCTGTCAGGTCTAGAACTGAACTCACTCCTGTGGCTCCCAACCAACAAATAGACAGGCATATGGGGGTGAACAATTACATCAGGTAGATCCACTCTTTGGAGCGATCAATCATGGGAGAAAAGAATGGCAGTGTTTGCACAGGGAGATAGCTCTGGGGGTGGGAGTGCATGGGAGGGAAGGACATAGGGTAACTGTTGTTGTTTTTGTTATGTGCTATCGAGTAGGCCCTGACTCATAGCGACCCCTCCTTGGGTTTCCAAGGTGGTATATCTACGGAAGTAGATTGCCCAACCTTCCTTCCAAGGAGTGGCTGGTGGGTTTGAACTGCCAACCTTCTGGTTAGCAGTCAAGTGCCTTAGGCACTATGCTACCAGAGCTCCTATAGGCTAACTAAAGGGAGGTAACTACGGGGAGGAAGTGGGAAGAGAGCTGTTACATTGTGGGGAATTGCAGTCGATGTCATGAAACAAAATGTGTATGAAATGCTATATGGAAAATGAATTTGCTCTGTAAATTTTCATAAATTACAACATAAAATTTTAGAAAAGTCACATACAATATGAGCCCATTTATATAACATTTTTCAAATGACAAAATTTAGATAATTTTAAGATTCCCTTCCCTTGAGTGCATTTGGAACATGTGGCTTGCCTCTATCCAATAGAATATAGCAAAAGTGATGAGATCTCACTCTTTTGACTAGGTAGGTTACATTATATGGCAAAGGTTACATGAGTCCAGAAATACCAAACTCATTGCCATGGAATCAATTCAACTCATAGCGACCCCTCCTTGGGTTTCTGAGGTGCTATCTCTGTGGAAGTAGATTCCCCGACCTTCCTTCCAAGGAGTGGCTGGTCCTCTCAGTTATTGCTGTGCTTAAGCCCACTGTTGCAGCCACTATGTCAATCCATCTCATTGCAGGTCTTCCCCTTTTTTGCTGACCCTCTACTTTACCAATCATGATTGGTCCCTTTGCATAGCATGACCAAAGCACTAGAGATAAAGTCTGGCCATTCTTGCTTCTAGCAATCTGGCTGTACTTCCTCCAAAGCGGATTTGTTCATTTTTCCAGTAGTCCATGGTACATTCAATATTCTTTACCGACACCACAATTCAAATACATCGATTCTTCTGTGTTCTTCTTTATTCATTGTCCAGCTCTCACATGATATGAAGCAATTGAAAATACCATGGCTTGGATCAGGCATAGCTTAGTCTTCAAAGTGACATCTTTACTCTTTAACGCTTTAAAGAGGTCTTTTGCAGCAGATTTTTCCAATGCAATATGTCATTTGATTTCCTGACTGCTGCTTCCATGGGCATTGATTGTAGATCCAAGTAAAATGAAATCCTTGACAACTTCAATCTTTTCTCTGTTTCTCATGATGTTGCTTATTGTTCCAGTTGTGAGGACCTCTGCTCTAGCAACCACTAATATACTTTCTATTTCTATTAATTTGTCTATTCTAGATATTTCATATAAGTTGAATTGTACAATATGTGGTCCTTTGTGACTTATTTCATTAGTATAATGTTTTCAAGGTTCATCCATGTTTTAGCATGTATGCTGTAGCATGTATCAGCATATTATTCATGTGTGTTGAATAATATTCCATTGTATGGTATAAAAAAAAAAAAAAACTGCCATCGAGTCAGATCCAACCCATAGTGGTCCCTCCTTGGGTTTCCTAGGTGGTATTACTACAGAAGTAGATTGCCCAATCTTCCTTCTGAGGAGTGGCTGGTGGGTTTGAATCACTAGCCTTCCGGTTAGCAGTCAAATCCTTAGGCACTATGCCACCAGAGCTACTTTTGTATGGTATAGTGTAGTCACTTATTTATCTGTTCATCAGTTGGTGGACATTTAGGTTGTTTCTTGATCCTGGCTATTATGAATAATGCTATATGAACATTTTGTATGCTTTCATTTCTCTGGAGTACATAACTAGGAGTGGAATTATTGAGTTATATGGTAATTCTATTTTTAACCATTTGAGGAACTGCCAAACTATTTTCCAAAGGGGCTATATCATTTAACATTCTCACTAGCAGAGTATGAAAGTTCCAATTTCTTTATATCCTTGCCAACACTTGTTATCTTGTCTTCTTTTATTACAGCCATCCTAGTAGGTGTGAAGTGGTATCTCATTGTGGTTTTGATTTGCATTTTCCTGATGGTTAATAATGTTGAGCAACTTTTCATTTGTTTATTGATCATTAAATATCTTCTTTGGAGCATTATCAATTCAAATACTTTGCCAATTACTTAATAGGGTTATTTGTTTTTTATTATTAAGTTGCAGTAAGTTATAGATGTTGTTGTTGCTGTTGTTATGTACTGTCGAGTCGGACTCGACTCATAGTGACCCCTCCTTGGGTTTCTGAGACAGTATCACTATGGAAGTAGCTTGCCCCATCTTCCTTCCGAGGAGTGGCTGGTGGGTTTGAACCACCAGGCTTCTGGTTAGCAGTCAAGTGCCTTATAGATAGAAATCATTTATTAGATATATGATTTTCAGTATTTTTCTCCCATTCTGTGTGTTGTCTTTCACTTTATTGATGGTGTTCTTTGATGTATAAAAGTTTTTAATTTTTATGATGCCCAGTTTATCTAGTTTTTTCTTATGTTGCTTGTGCTTTTGGTGTTATATCTAAGAAACTATTGCCAAATCCAAGATCATGAAAATTTGCACCTAAGCTTTCTTCTAACCATTTTATTCTTCCATTTAGGTATTTTGATACATTTTGAGTTAATATTTGTATATGGTGTGAGGTAGGGGTCCAACTTCATTCCTTTGCAACTAGATGTCAACTTGTCCCAAGACTATTTGTTGAAAAGGCCATTTTTCCCCCATTGAATTGTCTTGGCATCCTGTCAAATCAATTGACTGTAAAATTAAAGGTTTATTTTATACTTGCAATTCCATTTCATTGATATATATGTCTATTCTTGTGGCAGTAAAGTATATTGTTCTAGACCACTAAGTTCATAGTAATTTGTTATGCAGCATAGAAAACTAATTCAGATTTTGCTGTCTGGAAGTAAGGTGCTAGTGTAACTCATACCTGAAAACGTGAGAGTGGCTTTGGAACTGTACTGTGGGCAGAAGCTAGAAGGATTTTGAGGCACATGATAGAAAAGTCTAAATTGCCTTCAGCAGACTTACCTGAAATTTGGAATTTAAGTATGCTGAGGTGAGGGCTCAAAAGGAAGTGAGAAATTGTTATTAAAAACTGGAGGGGGAATCCTTGTTATATAGTGGCAGAAAGTGTAGCATAATTGTCTCCTATATATGGAAAGGAACCCTGGTGGTGCAGAGGTTAAGCACTGGACTGCTAACTAAAAGGTCAGCAATTCAAACCCACTAGCCACTCTGTAGCAGAAAGATGTGACACTCTGCTTCCTTAAAGATTTACAGCCTTGGACATCCTGTGGGACAGTTCTGCTCTGTACTATAGGACCACTGAGTCAGAATCAACTCAACAGCAATGGGTTTGGTGGTTTGTTTTTTTTTTTCCTTTAGTTATGTTTGGAAAGCAAAACTTGTAGATGATCAACTGGGATGTATCACTAAGGAGATTCCCAAGCAAAGTGTTGAAGGTGTCACTTGGTTTTTTGTTGCTGCTTATAGTAAAATGTGACAAAAAAACAAACCAAACTCGTTGCCAACAAGTCAACTCCGACTCATAGCAACCCCTCTGGGTTTCTGAGGTCGTATCTCTACGGAAGTAGATTGCCCAGTCTTCCTTCTGAAAATGTGACAAGAGAAATAAATTGAGGCAAGAACTATTAAATAAGAGGGAATTAGGGTATTTTGAAAATGCTCAGCCTCTTCAGATGGCAAAGACACTAAAATTATCTAAAATTTCAGAAATATCAGAAGTCAGAGAATTCAGTCACACAAAGGGTCCTTTAAAGCGTTTAAGATTGTGCCTCACAGATTTTCTCAAATCAGAGATCCTCTAGGAAGCTTAAGGAGTTACCCCTCAACCATCTCAGCAGGAGACCAAGATAGACTAGGGATCATAAAGAAACATCTAAGTAGGTGAAGGGCTTAAGGCACAAAATTTAAGGAGGAACAACATTTCAGGATCCTGCAAGTGCAGGGTCATCACCTCATGGTTAAGTGCCTCCTTCAATTTTGCTCCAGAGTGCTTCAAAGGTCTGACATTAGTCCAGGCCCTGTGAGTGGCCCAGTGAAATGTGTATGCTGCATACATTAATAAAAAGAGAGATAAATCTGTCAGAAATATTAATGGGTGGTGAATATAGGTGAGAGGGGCTATACAAGTGTTCACTGAATTAGTCTTTCAACTTTTCTGAGGTTTGAATATTTTCAAAATGAAAAAACGGGAGAGGATAAAAAAAAAAAAAAAGAAGTGACAAGGGTCATGTGGGCTGTAGGAAGAGATTTTTCTTTTTTGAGGTGGTGGGTGCTGTTGAACACCAGACAAAATAAGAGTGGCGCTTCCTTTCGCGGTACCCAGGATGGTTTAGGAAAGTCTCATCTTCATTTTCCCCACAGTTTAGCAATTTGGAAATGGGATTTCACTCTCTGCGGAGGGCCAGGTCTCCGCCATTGCCTAGTCCTTAGTCGACCTCGCAGCCCAGAGGGTCTCCCTCGAGCTCTGGGGCTGGGCCCAGCGGCCCCCGAGTGCTTTGCGGAGACACAGGACCTTGGCCGTGCGCGGGCGCCCGGGCCCTCAGGAGACGCGCGCGGAGCGGGCGGGCCTGACGCGCCGCTGCGCTGGCTCTCGCTCTCCCCCCGGAACCGGAGTCCAGCGAGGCTGCTCCCCGCGCCTCGGAAAGGCAGCGGACCCCGCTGCAGCCGCCGCCCTATGGCGAGGCTACGGGATTGCCTGCCCCGCCTGATGGTCACGATCCGGTCCCTACTCTTCTGGTCCTTGATCTACTGCTACTGCGGACTCTGCGTCTCCATCAACCTGCTCAAACTTTTATGGAGCATCGGCATGGGACCAGTGCAGACCTTCCAGCGGGTCGCCAGGGAACACCCACCCGCGTGCTTGAACGACCCTTCCTTGGGCACCCACTGCTACGTGAGGATCAAGGTGAAGGCCGGCGCGGGCCTGGCGGGAACGGGAGGGAACGTGACGGCCCAGCGAGCGGAGAAAGCCGAAGCGGCTTCTTCCATGATGCCCGCGGTTCAGCGTTCTCTGGTGTCCCCGGAACTCGCAGGGCGCGCGGCGCGGCCGGGGCGATGACAAGGGGAGCCAGCAGAGGCGAGATCTGGCGGGAATGGGGCCGGGTCTGTGGGTTTATGTTCATTCACTCTCTTTCGTGTGTGTGTGTGTGTGTGTGTGTGTGTTGTGAAAAGACACAGAGAGACAGAGACTGACAAACCCCAATCCGTTTTGAAGGCTCCTTAGTTTATAAATGTAGGATTTTTCCTAATCAAGGTCCTCTTATATTACTGTCTCCTGTTCCTCCGCCACAGCAACCCAGAATAATTCTCCCTTTCCTACTATAAGGGGAAGCTGCCTCCTATCACCTTTTTGCCCTTTAGAACTCAGATCAACTGTAGGGAATTTTTCCTCATGGTGCCCTACTGTCTCAGGAGGCTGCCCTTGCCCAAATTTTAGGGATCAAAACAGTAAACAGAGTGAGTCATTGGAAAGTATGAGTTTATTCCAATCAGCAGAATGGAGAATTCCCGGATGACCTAGGCAGCAAAACAAATAAACAACAACAACAAAATAACTGAATGCGTATGTTTGTGGGGAGGGAAGTAGACTAATAAAGTCAGGGACCAATGGAATGGAATAAAAAGTAAATGTCAGCCGTGCATTCAGACTCTAAATTGTCCATGCTTCCTCACAGCCCAACCTGGTGAAAGGAAATAGCCCCCTTAAGATGCACCCTACAATCTGACTCACAGGTAAAAACTAGCCTCACATGAGGAGTTACTTACTTTGCCAAGTCCTGATTCCTATTAGGAGCTAAATTTCCCAGCAGCTGGAGTTCAGAGGGACAACGGACACTTCTTTCTTGTCCTTATTAGGCCTGGGGTTGATGTGAAAATTGAATGAATCAAAATTTGTAAAACAACTTAGGACAGTGCTTGGGGCATAAAGTATATGTTAACGAAATTGTACACCTATAGCTCTTAACCCTCCAAAACTCACTGAACCGCCAATAAAAGGAATTATTGTACTTCTAGGAAGGCATTGTGCAGTTGAGGGCAGAGGCAGATTTGTTATCTTGGGTCAACCCGAAAAAGGAAAGTAGTGTTAAGAATTGTCTGCAGTTCCTCACAGCTTTTTTTTCTGACTCTGGCCGCCTAGAGAGCTTCCCCAGAGACTTAGAATGAAAGAATCGTCTGTTAGTTAGACCACGATGGGGATTCTGGTTCCAGCCCTGCTCCCAGCCATCTCCATGACTTGTATTACCATCTTGGCGCCTCAGTTTATAAATCTGTAAACTGATGGGGTTGGATTAGACGACTTTAAAATTCTTCCGGAGTCCCTGGGTGGTGCAAACAGGTAATGTACTCAGCTGCTAACAAAGGTTGGTAGTTTCAGTCTACCCAAAGGTGCCTTGGAAGGCCTGGTGATCTATCTACATTGAAAACACAATGGAGTACAGTTCTACTCTGAATCACATGGGGTCATCAGGAGTTGGAATCACAACAGTATGGTTAAGATTCTTTTACATCTGAAAAGCCAACTGTTTGGGTCCCCTGATATAAAATGAGGAGCTCTGGTGGTGTAGTGCCTAAGGCATTTGACTGCTAACCAGAAGGCTGAAAGTTCAAACCCACCAGCCACTCCTCAGAAGGAAGATTGGGCAATCTACTTCCATAATGATACCACCTTGGAAACCCAAGGAGGAGTTGCCCTGAGTTGGATCAGACTCGATGACAGTGAGTTTGGGGTTTTTGGGTATAAAACCAATCTCTATGCTCAGTTTTTGGTTCTTAGTTTTTTCTTAGATTTCTTTCTTTCTTTCTGAGTTTTTATTTTTCTTTCTTGCTATTTTACCACTTTCTTCTCTTTAGTTTATGTCATATTTGCTAAATTCCTGTCTCCTCCTGACACTTTCTGTTTTCTTTGGGCAATGTTGACACCCACATGCAGAATGAAGTCTTGAGCACTCAGGGCATTCTGCTGCTAGGAGCAGACATTAACAAGACAAGAGGAGCAAGCAGCAGGGGGAACAGTACATGCAACACTCAACTTAAAATAATGTGGGAAGGAGAGACCTAAAAATAAGGAAAGGAGGTGTGAATTATATAAATGATGGCACAGCTCTTGATGGGCAAGCTGAGAAAAGTACATGACTAGGAGGTAAACCTGGCAGGAATATAAATTCAGATTGGAATTACTTACATGTCCTACAGAATTTGAGTGAGATGAAATATGACGCATCAGTAAGATGAAAGACACAAATTGTGACATTGCTCCACAAGCTCATAATGGATAAATTGACCTTGTAGGAGAACAAGAAGGAAAGGGAAGGGAATGCACAGAAACGTGACTCTGTCCTTTTACCATATAGATAAATCATGGGTTTATTTATTTTTGAAAATTACTAATACCTATATTATTTCTTCATGTTAAAAATAATGCAAGTCATTATTTTTTAATAAAATGAAAATACTATTTTGATAGCCAACTCAAAATATCACTAAAATTTCATGTCCTTTATTTTCTACTGCAGGATTCAGGATTAAGATTTCATTATGTTGCTGCTGGAGAAAGAGGCAAACCACTTATGCTGCTGCTTCATGGATTCCCAGAATTCTGGTAATGCTTGTAAATTAACTTTTTCCTTTGCAGTAAAGACTTGCCTTACAGTATCATTTTCTAGTAATGATTTTTGACAGGCCCTACCCTATGATCATTGCTCAAAGTAGTCATTCCTGAATATTCCTGAATCATAGGAATGGTCTTCCGTGTCTAAAGATAGCTACCTGCTACCATGCTAACTCATACTTTTTGAGGATTTACAGAATTATCTTTAATGTTTTAAATTTCTGAAAGTCAGTTAGAAAATAGTGTTCCTAGAGTACTACCTGTGGACAAAATAGAACACTGGATAGAGAAGGAGGTTTCAAAGAAACAAAGGCATGGTCCTGTTATCAGGAAACTTTTGATGGGGCAAGGAGAGAAGTGGACTCATGGATACTGAAAGATGAACGATTTCCTAACACATAGCCCCAGGCTCAGATGAATGCAGAACAAAATAAGGACCTAAATATTTCACAATAGAAGAAAATCTACAGCCAAAAATACAGTTGCTAGAGGAAAATGATCTGTTTTCCTTTGAATTCCTACAAGGTCAAATAAGGTCAGATGAAAGCAGCACAGGATTAACTGTGTTTTGTTTTGTTTTGTTAAATGAACGTCTTTAAAAGAGATATTACATATCATGGTAGCAAAATGAAAACTTTTTGATGGCATAGGGCTGTTATCTTTAGATGATTCATAATGTAAATGAGTCAAGAAATGGATGAAAAGAAAGTCATTCTCTGAATCAACGTAAGGGTAGAATATGTAGTATCTTGAAAGGTCCAGGATACCAACCAGTAGAATTTTCCCTTTCCATCTCTCATGATAACCTAGAATTTCACATGGATTCCTCATCTCCCTTAGTGTTTTAAAGATTTTGTGTCATCCAAAGTCCTGATTTAAAATGCAGCTAGCTCTGAAGAGGGTATTACCCTCAGACACTTAAGTTAATGCTTTATGAGTGAAAGAGATCTTATGAATAAACACGTTGAGGATGAGAAGTATTGGGCATTGGAGAAAAGAATGGAGGATGGCCAAGATCCATCGACTTCATAATTTTTCCGAGCAAGAAGACTATGGATGCCTCTTCCTAAGAAGATTTTCCTTTCATGAAGTTGTTTCCTCTGAATTTACCTACGTACATAATTCATTTTCATGCTAAACTTTGATCTATTCTTCCATTCTGGAGACAAGTAAATTAGGTGGTAGATAAAGCTCAGCCCAGTGCATTTCAAGAATATGTGTGTGGACTCACCAGTGGAGCATATGACATGATTAGCTCACAATACAATGGTAGTCTGAAGCATTAGTCAACTCTGCCTAGAAGATAATGGATAGTGAATTCTGGCTCAGGCACCTACTTGCTGCAGCATCCTACACAATCATCAACAGTAATCTTGTAGAGTTGCTGTAAATATAAAGAGAGATTAAACAAGCAAAAGGCTTCTTAGGTGGTCCCAAGCAAATACTCAATAGATGTTCATTTTTCTCCTTCATTCCCTTCTGTTCACTCATTGTGAAGATCCATATGCCAGATAATCATATCCTGATTCTGGATGACAGTGATGTTGATTATAGGTAACATTTACTGATCATTTACTGTGTGCCAGGTCTCCTCCAGGTATTTCACAAATATCATCTCATTTAAATCTCATAGCAAAATTGGCAGTGCCAAAAATGTGCACCTCATACTTGAAATGTAGGGTTGACCACTGCTGCTTGTCCTATATATAGAAATGATAATGCTCTGATAACATACACGTACCATTTTTCTTCAAATTTCACAGGTTATAGGAATAGCCAGGAGGGTGGTCAAAGCAGCCAACAATTTAAGAATATCATACTTTAATATTTTAAATAATCACCCTAATAAAATGTATGAACTGAATGTAGGGATGGTATTTAACTTTTTAAAAAGATTTAAAAGCTAGTCTCTCCACCGCACATCAACCCCAATACTTATCTATGCTCATTTTCTTCCTGGAACTTCACCTGTTTACATGTGGAATAATATAAGTGAAGATGAAAATAAACTTACAACCACTTGTTAATTATTTTAAGGAGTCCCCAAGAATGGCAGTGATATCCATTTAATAAAGGGCAGTCGATGATCTCTGTCAAATTGGAAGAAATGATACTTTTACATGGAATTGTCCCCATTATTTGTTCCTCATGAGAGCCCTTTCACAAAATAGAAATTGCTAGTGATTCCTGTACATGTTCTAGAATGTGCAGTGGATGGGTGAAACTAGGAGTGTCACACCACTAGTCCTGGACATTAGACCCATTTGTTCCAGTAAAGTCAAGTCTTGGATGTGTCCAAAAGAGAACTGGTCCTTGTGAAGAAGAGGAAAGTTTTAAAAATACTCCTATAGATGTTTTCATTCTGCCATAGATTAGGAAAGATATGCAGATGTTAGGAGTAAGTCCCTTTTATTCATCATCTCTACCCATTTATTATTCCTGTAAGAGCCTTGCTTTAATTAAACAATAAGAGGGTAACTTGGTTACTCCAATAGACTAGATGGAATTCACTAAATTTGCTGGTCATTAATCAGAAAATACCTGATTGTTCAGGGAAGGTACTTATGGTAGTTAAGTGTATGTGTCAACTTGGCTGGGCATGGTTGAGTGGCTGGGAAGCTGGATGTAGTTATTCCCCATGGTAAGACTGGTAATTAACTCCATGATGGAATCTATTGGAGCAGCTGAGTAGTTGCTTTAGGGATGTGGTCTGCTTCCAGTATATAAGAAGCAACTTTAAGGAAGGTCTCCAGCTTTTTGGCACGCTTGAACCCTACATGTAGCCAAGTTGTTGTTCAGCAGTCTGCCATGTCCTGCCGATCTCGGGATTTTTTTTCTAGGCTTGAATTAATGGCCTGCCATGTGGTTTGGTAATATTGGGACTGTGCCTTTTCACTTGTTGACCTTGGGTTTGTCAGCCACAGCAGTCAGCTGCTGCCTGAGTGAAAAAAGCCTCTAGCTTCAGTGGGCTGGGAGCAAGAGGCAGAGCTGAAGCCCAAGGTCGAGGGGCTTTCATCCAGCCCCTAGAACCTGGCACTTTGAACTTGGATTTCTAGCCTCTGAAGTTGTAAGAGAATAAACTCCTGTTTGTTCAAGCCATCCCGTTTGTGGTATATTGCTGTCAATGTCACCAGAACAGTCCTAAAGCAACACATGGAGATTGTTGTTAGCTGCTGTTGACTCCACTCCTACTCATGGTGACCTTTTATACAACAGGAGCTCTGGTAGCATAGTGGCTAAGGCACTTGACTGCTAACCAGAAGGCTGGCGGTTCAAACCCACCAGCCACTCCTCGGAAGGAAGATGGGGCAATCTACTTCCGTAGTGATACTGCCTCGGAAACCCAAGGAGGGGTCACTGTGAGTCGGGTCCGACTTGATGGCACATAACAACAACAACAACAACATGAAATGTTGCCAGGTCCTGGATCATCCTCACAGTCACTATCTTGTCCAAATCCATCATTGCAGGTACTATGCCAATCTATCATACCAAAGGGTCTCCCATGCCCTCATTGGTCCTCTACTTCACCTAACATGATGTCTCCTCCATTGACTGATCCTCCTGATGACATGTCCAAAGCAAGCAAGTCAGACCGTTTTTTGTTATGATCCATAAGGTCTTTCGTTGGCTAATTTTTAGAAGTAGATCACTAGGCTTTTCTTCCTACTATGACTCAGTCTGAAAGATCATTGAAAGTGTCCACTATGGTTTACCTGCTGGTATTTGAAATATCAATGGCATAGCTTCCAGCATCCCAGGAACGTATAAGCCATCATAGTATGACAAACTGACAGATGGGTGGTGGACATGGAGATAACTGGCAATCAAAACACTTCTGGTTGAGTATGTTGTTGTTGTTGTGTGCCGTCAAGTCAGCCCTGACTCATAGCGACCCCTCCTTGGGTTTCCAAGGCAGTATCACTACGGAAGTAGGATTGCCCAACCTTCCTTCCGAGGAGTGGCTGGTGGGTTTGAACCGCCAGCCGTCTGGTTAGCAGGCAAGTCCCTTAGCCACTGTTGAGTACAGCACACACTAAAGCAAGACTTCTGTTTTTCTTTCCAATAAAATTAACACTCCATTATGGGGTCTAGTCAAGTCCTTTCAGCGAATAAATCAATCCAAATCTTAAAAAGTTTAAGACAAAATTGTTTTGAAGAAGCTACTTCAAGTCTCTCTTGGGCTTCTCTTTCTCTTTTACATTTTTCATTTTTGCCTTTCTCTTGAATTTCTCTATACTTCTTTTTTTTTTTATTATTTTTTTTTCATTTTATAAAGCCCATTTCAAATGATTTTAAATTTACATTATAAATATGTTATTCAACTTTTTCCTAAATGTTCTTGAAATTATAAGCTTGTTTGTCCGTCACGTGGGTCCAAAATATTTGATACAATGAAAACAAAATTATCAAAATTGTAATATATGTGAAAGTGCTTTTTAGGCAGAAAAGCACCCTACACATATCATCACCACCTAAGAATAGCTGTAGAGAAATGATCGCTTTGATATATTCCAATCGATGTTACACAGAAACAGCAAAATCCCAGGACTTCTTTCTTTTAAAGGAAACCTCAAACAAGATTCACATTTATGAGATTTTTAGCTACGTTAGACCAAAATAAGGCTCTTTGTCAAAAGATCCTTTTTCTCCCACTCTCTCGCCACTTGGATTTGAATTCCTTTTTAAAATACTTTGAGCTGATGCACGCAATTTCTTTGAGTTGTCTTTATCACCAGCTGCATGGAATACACGCATCATCAGCATGCATCATCACTCAAGTGTTCAGGCAAGTGAGGGCTTGCTATATCCACAGCTGAGTGCAGAGGCCGATGACTAGGGCTTTTTCTGTGTTGTGAAGAGGAGAGGACATTCTACATTTTAAAGTGGCTGGCTGGTAAAACCAAGAGTACTCCTTCTGTTAAGAGCAATAACTGGAAAGGAGGTCATTTCCTTTTCAGTGTCCTTTGCTATTTAAAGCTACACACACG